TGAAGATGGCTCCCCATTATTTTACTGACCTGCCCCTAAAACCCCAACATCTCTTAGTTCATTACCCAGACATTGGCAAACTCCTGGTCTCAGTTACTACCCTCAGTTACTAAGATAATGATGATCCTTGACACTGAATATTCAACTTTTGTTTTGAACCTTTTCCCTACCTGGCCTGTAAGAAAATATGAACTGTTATACAACAATGTTATACCAAAAAAATCAGCAACATTTATTCCCTAGGGATAATGTATCTGCTGTTACTGCAGAGAAACATCTCTCACTATTCGCTAACAGCCCTCATTGCACACATTATTGTTTCTTCATCAAAGAATTTCTAATTCGCTGTCAATGGCAAGTTATCATTTCTGACATGAGTAAGAATTGGAAAAGCAAGAGTCATTTTCTGACCAGCAATTGTGGCAAATCTGGTACCCTACCATGAGCAAGGACTTATAAATATCTACCATAAACATGGTGTACATACCGTGTTTCCTATTTAACAGCCTAGCTCACAAACTTTTGTTCCCCTTTATTGACTAACAACACTTTTTGCAGATATTGCCATCTCTAAGTTTTCATGACATATATTGAGTTGAATTCTTTCTCAAATATTTTCTCATTGCAATTTCAAGAATAATCAGACAATGTGACCTACTCCTACATCCCCGTTCCAACTAGCATCAGCCTCAGTTTTCTGCTCCATTGCTAACAGGGCTCCATAATCAAAACATAAGTGACAACAGGAAGGCATGGCTCATATTCTTGCCTGATTTTCTTGTCTTGGAAAGATTGTATCTTTCTACTTTTTGATTATGGACTAAAATGGGAAAAGGACCATTTTAAAAGCCAAGGACTGTGGAAGGGATTGCTGCAATTTTTAAAAACAAACTACCAGGACTTATTGTAAGTGCTGTTAACACTGGTGTTTGTTCCCAGATGCAGATGTGGAGCAATGACAAGTTGCTGATGACAAGGCCTCCTGCCTGTCAACATTTATGTGTTTAGCTCCAAGGTAACTGAGCAGTTTGTGGGTGTGAGCAAGATAGTCAAATGCCTTTGGACCTTTAGAAATGAAATTGCTGCCTTTCCCTCTGCAGTAAATAAACCTAAAGCCTGAAGAAAGGCCATTAATTTTCCCTCACTAATTGCATTAATTTGTTGTTTTAATCAATAAGTTGGAGGCTATATATGAACCAGTCACGCTGTATCTCCTGCAGGAAAGTGAAAGTACCTGAAGAAAAGAGAGATCATTGAACTTCAGGTTCTGGAAAACCAAAACAATCATTTCAGTTAACCATGTGAACAGGGACCATTGAACTGTCTTCCTAGTTTTACCTTCCACCCATAACCTCAATGTTTTTTGTCTGTCTGCGTGTGTGTCTGGGGAGTTTATAAGGGAGGGGTTTAGAGTTTTAACTAGTAGAATTATATTTGATTGATTTGATTTATTGTTGTCACATGTACCAAGACACGGTGATAATGGTTGTTTGGTGTGTTCTACAAGCAGATTGTACCATATAGAATGCATCAGGTAGCAAAACAGAGTGCAGAATACAGTGTTAGAGCCACAGAGAAGGAGCAGAGAGAGATCAATATGAATATTTGAAAGGTGCATTCAAAAGTCTGATAACAGCAGGAAAGAAGCTGATCTTGAATCTGTACCTATGTGTATTCAAACTTTTATATCTTCTGCCTGATGGAAGAGAGTATAATCAGGTGGGAGAGGTCTTTGATTATGTTGGTTGATTTCCTGAGGCAGCGGAAAGTATAGACGGACGCCTGACCGAACAGCTATATATCGACAGTTCACCTGAAGCTAGAATCTATTTAATTATAATAAACAGTACTTATGGTTAAGTACAGAAACCTTGTCCATGCTTTGTTATTAACTTGGTTCTATTGACAGAGTAAATTGATGAATTTTGTATAGACAAACACTTTAAATGTTTTTTGATGACTCCAGAAATAACAAGACTTGATTTCCATGCAGTACCCAGTAAGTCATGACATCTTCCATTGCTATTGCTGCTGCCCACCCCAGAATCACTGAAAAGTAGACCGTAGGCAAGTGGAGCGAAGTAATGTTCCTCTTATTTGTTTCTGTCTGAAATGAATTTTGTTATATGCACCAATATCAAGCTAATGTGCAGATGTACCCCACTATCTACATATAATTTTAATAAATACTTTCGAATATTTTCTCTGCCACAGTCATGGAAAAAGAAAGTGTTTAAAAATTCGATATAATTTAACAAGGTTCAATGGATGATAATGTTAGATGAAATCAAATAAAAAGAACATTAACAATGCATTTTTTTCAGAAACCTTTTATAATCTTACAGGCATCTATTCATGCTTTCTTCATGCTTAAAATTACAGATTACATCCCTTGACCACTAATCACTGTCACTGGAATGAATCCCAAGCTAGTAGTGTGAAACATTAATTACAGTGGGTATAAATATGTACAGTTATAAATAACTGCAGAACAAGTAAATCATAACCCGGGAAAGAAGTGCTGTATTTTCTTGTACCATTGCAAGTCAGGATTCCTGTCTCCCATCCATATTATGATGTTATGCCTCTCTAAAACATGCTATAACATAAATGTAATGTAATTTCTGTCTAGATCTGCTGACACTATTGTCATTAGTGAAATAGAAATTAAATTAATTGAAAAACAAGTCTCCATTTTACTAAATAACTACATTGAAAAATTGTGTTTGACATCAGTTCTGACTGCATCAGTACACAAATCTAACTACAATTCAACATTTTTTTAAAAGCTAAAAATATTCCTGCACATCCAGTTGAAAAAGTAATTCCGAATTAAAATGAGCTATTCTGCATTCATGAAATATCATAGATTTCTACAGCTTATGTACAGTTCATTTGTTAAGGCACCATTACATGCTCGATTATTGCAAGACATTAATGATTCCCTCACTTTCAAATTAGAGGTGCTATTTCCACTGAAGTGTACAGTCCACTTTCTCCTGCTGCCAAGTGTTTCTTCTCTGTTCCAAAGATAGCAGTGAGCTAGTTAATGGTGGGAGACTTTGTCTTGGGCCTCGTATTGTCCAAAGGCTTGATGCTATTTTGATGTCAGCAGGGTCTATTGAGCCCATAGTTCATCCAGCAGCTGATCCCAGAGGAGCTGTGGTGGTAAAAGCTCACTGAAAAGCCACTGTCTCCATCTTTCTTTTGTTCTTATTCCAGATTTCCAGCAGCTTTAGTGTTTATCTCTCGTTATACATTATATGTGCTCTCAGACTCTCCTCAACTGACAAATGACCTGATTGCACTCTCCCTCAGTTCAATAACAGCTGTTATTACAAACATAGTTCTCTTTCTGCAGATCTTTATTTCTCAATTGAGTGCTCTGAGAAGCATCTTAAAGGGAACATAAAGCAGGACATCAGTGGCCTCTGTCCCTGATTTTTCATTCTTCAAGAGAATGTCTTTGGTCTCCAGTTTCCTGACCTGAATTCTCTGTGAGGATTATGCTTTTCTGGCTGTACCTGAATGAACCCTTATATTCATTAACAGTTCTTATAACGCATATAACTCCTTTGCTACATATGAAGAGTTTTTACGATACACGTGGGGAGTTGGTACTTGGGGCACATTTTTCACCTGTTGTGCTCTGGATCAACTGAGGGTGTCTTGAGAGTTCCAAAATTATGCTGGAAAAGACTTCTAAAAGGGCCTTGGCAGAATTTATGACAACTGAGAGCTGATGTGAATATCACTGAAAGTAGTGCTGAAGGAAGCCATTTGGGCCATCCTGTCTGCACCAGCTTTCTGACCATTTTGACTTTGTACCAATATCCTTATATTGCTCATTTTGATTAGAAATTTTTAAACTGGTGTGTAGATTCCAAAGAACTGTAAACCTTTGTAGTTTCTTTAACATTCAGTCCAGGTTGGCCCTTGGAGTTCCTCTTTCAATCTGGCAGACACTGGAACAGGCAGCATTGAAGCCCCATCTCAGATGTGTGCAATGCACCTTCCTAACCTTGTTCGTGACACAGACCTGTATTCTGAGACAGGATTTAGAATGGATGTGGATTTTATGCACTTGCATCAGCCAAGTGTGCCCTGAGAGTTTTGGGAATCATAGACTCCCTACAGTGCTGAAAGAGGCCATTCAGCCCATTGAGTCTGCACTGACCCTCCCATCCAGACAAAGCCCCCTACCTTATTTCTGTAATCCTGCATTTCCCATTGCTAATCCACCTAGTCTGCACATCCCTGGACACTATGGGCAATTTAGCATGGCTAATCCACCCATTGTGGGAGGAAACTGGAGCAGCCAGAGGAAACCCACACAGACATGGGGATAATGTCCAAACTCCATACAGACTCATGGTTGAATTCAAACCTGGTTCCCCAGCGCTGAGGGTAGTGGTGCTAACCACTGAGCCACCATGCATAGTTTGGTGTACCAACAGAGAAAAGTAGTTATTTAAGTAAGGAAATGTGATAATAGTCAATGAAGAATTTGTTCAACAAAATAGAATAGATCGTGTTTTCATGTGTGGTTTTGATCACCAAATGAGATTGGAATATGTTACAATTTACAACAATGGATGAAAATCACATGTCTGATCTCAGTTTCTGATGTGTGCACTGGTGGATGGGGACAATATTTCTGTTTGGAACAAAAGTCCACATCTGCATATGCACAAAAGTTATTTTTGAACAAAATCTTGCATATGGAAGAAGCAAATTACTGCAGATGCTGGAATTTGTACGGAAAACAACAAATGCTGGAAATTACAGCAGGTCAGGCAGGTCTGATGAAGAGTCATCTGGATTTGAAATGTTATCTTGCTCTCTCTCTCCATGGATGCTGCCTGACCCACTGAAATTTCCAGCATTTTTTGTTTTCTTGCATTTGGAAGCTAGTTTCCAAAATACCTGACTGTTCCAGCATACTTCAATGAAATTTTCCATGTCCCAACAATATGAAGCATCTACACTGCCAGCTTCTTTCTGCACATAAACAGAAAAAAAACACTTAAAACATTTTTGATAAACATTAGTTAGTGTTGAGAGTTTATTCTTGTCATTCTAGATGTGATCTACGTCATATGTCAAGAGCCCAGTTTTACAGACCACATCCTGGAAGCCATTGTTCAATATATCAAGGTGCAGCTTATAAATTGACCACTACTGGTAATCACACTGCAAACTACACTTGAAATTGTACTGGTTTTCCACAGACAAATTATGGCTCAAGTTGCCACTCAAATTCATTTGCTTAATCACAAGCATAAATCATTTAATGAAACTGCTTGATCAGACAACATTTCAGAATAACCATATTAACAGCCAAATCAGGGAATTCATATTCCATGAGGTGCACCTGGCTGATGTCATTACAATCACTACACTGGGGAGTAGATGGGATTTTGTTTTAGCACATGTTTTGAAATCTTTCTTACTGTAGGGTTATCTTTAGATAGCTTGGTTTATTTTATTTTTATCCTTTTGTGCAGCAACATTCTGTTTTACTGTTAAAAACCAAACCTGCAACCTGTGTGATTATTTTTCAGTGAAAGATTGTCACGTTAAATTAACTAAAAACAAAGTATATTTTATCAACCAAGATTTCCTTCTATTATATGACTTACCAATGGTAACATCAGCTGGGATCAAAACAACAGGACAATAATCTCATCCACAAATCAATGTGAACCTTCCCTGCACGATCTCCAAGGCCAGTATACCAGTTCTTAGATAATGAGACCAAAACTGTAGCAATCCAAGTACGATCACACCAACGTCCTGTTTAATTGTAACAAGATTTCCTTTATAGTCTAAATTATTTTCAATAAATGTTAACATGCTAGTTGCTTACATAATTATTTGCCGTATCTCATGCTAACTTCATTTTTCTTTTCATTTGGAATATAAATTTCTTTGAACATCAGCATTTAAAAAATTCACAATTCATGTTCCCAACACAGGAAATGGGTACTGCTGTTAAAATAGACACTTTGACACATCTGCAGATGTGCAGTTGCACCTGTGACTTCAAGTCCTTCACAAAAGAAAACCAAAGAATTGTGTTCAAGAATTACTTGTGAGTTGGAAGTCTTCAGGAACACCTTCAAACATTTAATTCACATATAGTATTGCTCTGCATAGCATGTATTTAATAAAGCTTTCAATTCAGAACTATTTTCTCTCATTTGTTTTTTTAAATAAGGAGAGGAATTGAGGTGGTTAGAAGATTTAAGTGTCACCATTAAGCTGTGTAAGTAATATGAAGGTGTTATTAATGTCTTAGGTAGTTTTCTCCAATTTTGTGACTGAAGTGGGGCTTATGCATTACTCCATCTAGTGGTAGCATTGGCTACAAACAACAGCCATACCTCACCATTTTTTAAAAATGAAAGGTGCTTTATGATAGAGCTACAGATGGGGCAAATGCTGTACTTATCAGAAGAAAACCACGATCAACAAACAAAGTAAGGGACAACTTGAAGAAAATGCATACAGAAATACAAAATAGTGTATGGCACAAATTTTGGAGACTGAGACGGACACAACAACAAAAGTTGATAGAACAAACATTAACAGCTACAAAAAGGGAATATGAAAAGAAATTTGCAAAGGCTATCAAAATCAACACTCAGATGAAACCAAAGTACTGTGGAACCTGGAGATTTGCTCCAGCAAAGCCAATGTAAACTTTTTTTTTCAAGATGATCAGAGAGAACCAATTTAGATTTACAAAGGTAGGTCATGTCGAATAAATCTGATTGATTTTTATGAAGGTGTGACTAAAATATTGGGAAGAGAATATCAATAGATATTATATGGTCCTGGATTGTGTGTTCAACAGTGAAGTGACAGCATTTGCCACCACATTCATGTAGTGATCTTTGTGGTGTGGATTACCATTTTCCAATGTCAGTTCGAATCTGGTGCCAAGTCAAGGGAACCTCCAGGCATCCAACAATAGTGATGTAAACAAGCAGGCTATGATGGCAATCACATACATGGGGTAAGGGAATGTCTGTGGGTATTTCAAATTGGCCTCTAATCGAAACAAAAGGAGCATAAAGGAGGCCGTTTCCTGCACAGGCAGTGTTAATTGCTGGGTTCCAGCCTGTCACAGCCTCACCAATATAGGCAGAGGTGGGAAGTTCCCCTTACATGGCACTGGGATCTTCTTCTGCCTGAGTAAGAAGATTTATCATTCACCCAAAAGACAGCACATTCAACAATATAGCACAAACTCCCTGTATGCCTCCCATCACTCCAGCAAGCAAAGAACATTAAAAATTGTTTGTAATTTGTGCAATCAAATATTACCACCAGTACTGTCAATTTACATTCTAATTTTTTGTGATTGCACCAGTAAAATATTTCTTTAAAAAAACATATTTATACAAAGAAAATTAATTGCTGAAATTTGCAGAGTGAATTGGATATTTGCATTAAGTTGCCCTGTGCACCAAAAGTACATAAAACACACATTATTATATGAGGACATCTAGTGGTCAGTATTTGTAGTCACTAGTAGTCAGTGCTTTTGCACAACCGACAGCCTCATACATATGACATAAATATATGCCTATTCATCTAATTGAATCATGCATCCATCTTATCACTAAATTTAAATCATAGTAAGGTCATAAATAACATTTATATTACATCTTTCACAATCCGAACATCCCAGAGAACATTACCACCAATTTGAAACTCCCAGGAAAGAGGGCTAACACTGACACTAACAATGAATTCCTAAGCTCACAGGTGCATTGATCTCTCCAGCTACTGTTTTGATAGAGTGTGCACCTTTGTATTCATTGTATCAGCTCTCTGAAGTGCAGCTTGTACAATACCTGGAAGCATCATCTTCCCCTTCTTAACAGGATGTGAATGGCTTATTCTGTTCTGTAAATGAGAAAATGGGCCAAAAGAGAGGGATTTCATATCTACAAAATATGTGTCATGTGCTATTGCATTATAGGGCCCACATTTTTGCTAATGTTTTAGATATTACCATCTGAGCCAGATCATTAACAAAATACATATACAGCACAGCGTGTTTGCTTCTTAGAGAGATAAAATAATTACTCTGTGAATTACCCTTGGTCACTCTGGTACAGCTCCTGTGGTTTTATAAAATGTGCCAGTGGTGGAAAAGGCACTGAACAGGGAAACTTAATGAAGGAAGAGCATTTAACCTTAGAACTGGGAACAGAATTATAATAACATTTGTAACATTTGGTGTATAACAGGATCTAGACAATAAACAAGATTATTATGTATCTGAGATACTTAACTATATACTGTTTGACTGCAATTTTAACATTAGCATTTTCTTAAATTTTCTCCAGTGTTTCCCATTATCATGCACCTAATCTCCAGGCAAGTGTAGTTGAGAAGACTTGTATTAATCTTCATTGAAGTGAATACTGAAGCAGGAGTGGACAAACTAACAGGGATTATTATTCCACTTCCTCAGTAGTCACTTAATGCTGCATGGGGCTCTGTTTTGGTGAACGACAAGAAAAAGATTTACTTAATGATCTATAATCAAATCCACCAAACAATGCTTTCCACAGAAAAAAAACAGAATTACAAAATACTAAAAACTGGTAAAAATAAAATTTAATTTCTTCAGTATCTAAACACAAGAGCCTGATTATAATTTTAATAATCCCAAGAATCTGAGCTCAAAATGGTTTGTAGTCCAATGGTTCTATGAATGTTACTAGCCTTCCTCTATCAATAAGAAACTGAATACCGTATCTAACCCGAAGGAGTGGCACAGTGGCTCAGTGGTTAGCGCTGCTGCCTCACAGCACAAGGGACCTGGGTTTGATTCCACCCTTGGGTGATTGTCTGTCTGGAGTTTGCATGTGCTGTCTGGGTCTGCGTGGGTTTCTGCCAGGTGTTCTGGTTTCCTCCCACATCCCAAAGATGTGTAAGCTAGGTGGATTGGCCATACCAAATTAACCATAGTGTTTAGGCTTGTGTAGGGTAGGTGGATTAGCCATGGGAAATGCAAGGTTACAGTGTTAGGGTAGGGGAATGGATCTGGATGGGATGTTCTTCAGAGGGTTGATGTGGATTCATTGGACCAAATGACCTGTTTCTACACTGTAGGGATTCTATAAATAAACCAACAGCATTGATATTCCAGCAGGCTGTAAAATGTTAGCAAGACAATATTTTCATATTACTGTATATTGAAGGCTTTAAGCTGTGAGACAACACTTTTAATTATTTATTAATAATCAAACAGGATGATTAGGCAAAACCATCACTATACTGTGAATGCTTATCCCATTTGGATATACGCTTTAAAAAAAGTCAAAATTTTAAGCAATATGTACTTATAGGGTATTTGCAACATTTAGTTCTACAAGATGATGATATAACAACAAGGCATTAGTGTATTTTCGATTATCGCAATTTTGGATTCACTGCTGACAATGCAAACAGTAAATTGTCAACATCTCAATTAGAAAGCTGTTTTCTTTTATTGTTCACAGGTGGCTTTCTTGCTTTTTGTGAGTCAGAACCCTTTGACATCCCAGAATTATATGATAATTATTTTGAAAGAAAACAAAATTATAATGTAGTTCCATTTTTTTTAAGTCATTGATGGGTTATGCTGACCTTTACTGAAGGCATATATTATTCCTGCTCTTGTGCTATATCTCATGGTCAGTATGTCAGTACACCTTTAAGAAACATGTTCATCACTATAATACAGCATGTAAGCTGAGGGTATAAAGGTGTCACCCTCTATCTTACCTCAGATCACTTGAAGCATGACGCTCTACTGGGAGCATGCTGTTCTGATGTATGTTAGCCCAGATACGAGTATTTGTACAAAACAGTCAGAAATAATGAGTTTCTGTTGGATTCTTCAATACCACAATATCCATACTCAATTTCTTATGTTATGGAAGATAACACGAACATTAACCGCAGGAAAACAGCCTGCTGGAGACAGAATCTCACCAGTTCTCACTTACTTGCAAATGTCCAGGTTGCCAGCATCGGCTGCAGACACAACTAGATTTGCATCAAAACTAAAAAGTTTCCAGTGAACATAATTGCAAAAGTCGGTAACATTATCTGAGCATTAGTCTCAATCATACATATAGGACAGAATTTAATGCCCAACATCATGGTCAGCAAATAATCAGAAAGGAGCGTGGCAGCAGGGGTCCCTGCCATATTCTGGTCTTCACACTGATTACATGGAACTCCCAGTATACACCCTTCACTCTGCTGTCAATTGAGGACCTAGAGTGGGCAATTCTGCTGTCACTTTAAGTTCATATCTTCTATTCTGTTTTAGGTAAGGAATTTGTTTTTCTGAGAGGATTTATATTCATAATTTCAGCACTACTTTCTCTCCCAAATACCATTTATTTCCATTCAGTCATTTGTCTCTTCATCATCAAGTATGAGGATGCCCTTCCATGAAATTTGAAAACTAAACAGTTTGTGCAGATTTTTATTTAATGGTTTTTTGCAGAAATCATTTCTGAAGAAGGGTCTATGCCCGAAACGTCAGCCTTCCTGCTCCTCTGATGCTGCTTGGCCTGCTGTGTTCATCCAGCTCTACACCTTGTTATCTGAGATACTGTGGGTGCTTCTTTTTCTTTAAAATAAAATTAATATTATTTGGATATATTAAAAGAAAGCTTGAAGTCTTCTTTACAGGCTGTCACAGAATGTAGGAATTGTCAGTTAATCCAGCATTTGTTGCCCACCCCTAACTGCCCTTGTGAAGGTGGTAGGAAACAGCCTTCTTGAATTTCTGTAGTCTATGGCATATCGATCCATCCAAAGTGCTCTTCAGGAGTGGTCTCTGGAAATTTGACTCAGCGACAGTAAAGGAATGGTGATTTAGTTCTAAGTCAGGATGGGGAATGGCTCAGAGAGGAACCTGAAGTTGGTGGAGTTAAGACTTTGACCTGACGGCATGGGACTTCAAGGGCTCCAGAGACAATGTTGAGAACTCTCGGGTCAACAGTATAGCACAATGCTGCCACCTTTGGTGGGTCAATTTTGTTAGTGGAATAAGGCATACTTCAGGATTGTGATGGTGGTCTCCTTAAGGTACAATTCAGTAAGTAATGACTAGGTCAGACAGTTGCTTGATTATATGGGGCATGTATGCCAGACCAGGTAGGGATGGA